TGCAAGCACACGTCAGGGACCCCTTTGTTGACCAAGTCATCATGTCCTCTCCTGGAGAATCTCCCGAGCCCGGCTTTGACAACCCACCCGCGAGTCTTAAGGCGCCTCCGGCACCTCCCCAGGCCTCATCGTCGCCAGCACAAACACAAACGGAGATCCCGTCTGTTGATGCTGTTAACAGGATCAACGCTCCTTCTGACCCATCCACGACAAAAACAGCGTCTCCTCCTGCCGTCAGAACCTTTTCACCCGAGACCACCAATCATGCCCCTGGTGTTTCTACTCACAATAACGACTTGGTCAAGACTCCTGAAATTGAAATTGATCCCGAAAATGACAGTTTAACCGAGGCCACCAATCCCGCGCCTGGTGATTTCACCCCCAATGACCGTATTCCTGACGGACCCAACACTGAAGGCTCTCCTGCTCTTGACGTCCACATCTTACCAACGATTCCCGAAATTTCCAATGACCCCGCGGATGAACACTTGCCCAAGACTCCCAATCCAGCCCCTGAGGTCTCCCTTGTCAATCACCCTATTTCCAACGCCTCCAACACTCAAGCCTCTCCTGCTCCGACCGTCGAAGTCTTGATTTCTTCTGACCTCGCGGCAGGACGTTTACCCCAGACCCCGAAACCTCGTGCTCGTGACACTACCCCCGATGACTCTATTTCAACAAAGGCCGCATCTCCAGTGACCACCGCCCCTGCGACTGACCCTCGCGAAAACTTAGTGCAACCCCATGTTCAGGGGCCTACCACCCATTCATCTACGGAAGTCGGGGCTTTTCGAGACCAGGATGGTCGTCCTCTTGGCACATCAATCCCAATCAACCCCGGTGTTGTAGCTACGGTAGCACCCTCTGAACCCATTAAGTACATGGGTCCATTGACATTACTCAGTAACATCAATGTACAATCAGTTTTGCGCAAGCGCATTACCGACGATGACATACCTGCCATCTACGAGGCCACCCTGAATTTTCTGTGTTTGCGCCGGGCAGATACAGGAGCTCTGTCGATTACTGCCGAGACGCAACTCGAAAGGGATGTTCAATTCCGTGTGAGACCTCGATGGAACCTCACCGATTTTCTTGACAAGGCACCAAGTAAGCCTTCCCCTTGAAATCAATGTAGCACAGAAGAGATCATGCTAATTGTCTTTCAATCTCGCCTTGCAGATAAATCTTTATGTGTTCCAGGTATTGAGGCGCCGTACCACCTCCCGGATATTTTTGACTTTGACGCAACAGCTGCAACATTCAAGCCTCCCCGGAATGAAAGAGTTGAAGAAAGCTGTGTGCGAATCATGCTGTCACCCTTGGTCAGCCCTTCGGCCCCCATGGTTGAGACCGCGTTGAAATACGTTTTGTCCGCGGTTGCCTACCTCAATCTCGACAGCCCCATCTCCACAACCCCGCATGACTTTTCCAAGACGTCCTTCCCTAATCAAACCATAGCAAATGGAGTGAAAGCTGCATTTCACTTTAATCAGCTCCAGGACACTACACCTCAACTCCTGGTCAATCAATGTGTCAGACTGATGTGGAAACTTCATAACCTGGTCTATGCCATCCTCGAGGCGGTTGCCAGCCTCCGAGCACGATTTCGGCATTTGGAAATTGTCAAACGAGCGCCTTTGGAAGATCAGCCGCGTATTATTGCCGAATACGAAGCCACCACCCAACCACTTGGGGTGGGTGGCATCTCTTCCAAGGCTCTCCTTGCGCTGGTTGTCTTTCTCATCGGCGGCGTCAGGGGCCTTCTGGTCTTTCCTCAAAATGCAAATGTTTACGGGCCAGTGAAGGCCAGCTTCTTCCTGGTTTTAATCAATCACTTACATAAGAACCGCCCCGTGCCAGAACCGGTTTGGAAGCATACCCAGTCATTCATCTTGGACCTTCTTGAGAGGAGTCTTTTCCCTGCTGGTTTCACTCGTGCTCGTACGTGTTTAATGGAAGCCGTCAATGATGATCAGTGGCAACATCAGGACTGCAGCAGGAAACTGCTTGCCCAGGTGATCCAAATGGATCTCATACAGTTTTGCTCCCACCAAGATGAGCATTTACAAAACAAAGGTCTTTACGAAGACCCTGCTTTTGAGTTGCCTGAATGTCCTTTGAATAAGGTCAAGGGGAAGGACAAGGGGAAGAATGGGCACTGAAGTTATATATGACAGAGCTTGTTTAATTTACTTTGTTTTGTCAACAACGACCCATGTGCCTTGATGTTGTTGACAGGTTGTATTTGTTAGTTATTTTTTGCCAGTGACAAAAGTGTATGTCCTTCACCAATGACCTTTTGTTGTATCAGGTTGAATTCTTTTCAGTACTAATGGGCTCTTGAACTCAGAATTGGGTCAGCTCAATGTTGTTTTGATTGAGTTCTTGTTTTTTCACCAATGACTGAATTGTATGATTTTCTATCAATGGCCAAAATTTACAAGTCTGAAGCTTGGGCATCTCTTGTTGGTATACACGAGCATTTGTGCTATGTTGAGCAGTGTAGCCTTAGCCAAAAAGAATTTCAATTCTTCAAACATGGTGCCATGAGCATTCCCAGTATTTACCAAAGCCAACACATGCTGTTTCCAATCAACTTTATTTCACTTGATATAAGCATATTCTTCAACCACATCTTGGCCAAAATTCCCATCTGTGGTTACCCAGATTATTTTCCAGGCCCTTCCCTGCCTGCAACCAATCTCACTGCCCACAATTTTTGTTTATTTCCTGAATTTCCAGACCAGGTTTTGATCTCCTCAACCATGCCTCCTCTTCTGGGCCCCCATGCCACCCTAGTGGATCGGGATCACATTTTGTGTGCGTGTCCAGAACATGGCTGCTCTCAAAGCACCATCAAATATCGGGGAAAGGTCATGCATGGGCGATTGTTCAGTCGCAAAAGCTATCCTAAGCACCTTCAACAGGCACCCACACAGTTGGCTGTCGTGCAGAACCCTGCACCAGCTCTCCCTGCCAGTCCTTCCCGCCCGGCTCCGCAACAACAAAACCTACCCAGTGCAGTAAGTATTTTTGTACTCTAGACCTGTAAATTGAGTCTGACAGATGCCTCAGCCTTCAAACCAGGGCTCAATGGTAGCTTCGACCAGCCGCATGGCCTCTGGTTTTCCCAGGATTGGCCCAGCGGTGCCCATTCAACGTCTCCCTCCCATTGAACCGGCAGTTCCTACCACCCGCAATAAAAGAGCTAGAGATGATGATTCAGATGAAGATTCTAGTTCAAGTAGTGTGGACTCAGCTGTTTGTCAACCAAAATCCCGGCGTCGCCAACACACAACCGCGGCTAGCACCACATCTGTTCCCAGCCATTTCCTACAGCATCCACTGTGTCTCAGAGAAATGCTCATGATCACCAAAGACCACCTGTTTAATGGACTTGGTGAAACCGCTTGCCGGAATCGTCTTCATGCCGCTCAAGCAAGTGTGACACAGCAGCTTAACATGCCTGACGCCAAAGCCAAAAACGACATTGTCAAACAGATTCCGCTTGGCCTCACAACTCTTCTCAAAACTTGGCAGCTGGATTCTACCATCCAATCCAAAATCTGCTGCCCGTTCTGCTGTGCATTGCAGCCATTACCGTCCCAAGCTGGAGAAGACGTCGAGCCCCTCGTACGATGCAATTACCCTCGATTCACTACAAAATCCTCTACAAAGCTTGCACAATTACCTTGCCAACAACCACTGTATGAGCAATCTTCCGACAGCAAATTAGGCAAAATATCCAGATTATTCTTTTTTCAGCCAGTCCACTCCTGGCTGGCTAAGATGCTCAAGTTCTCCAATTTTGAAACTGCGCTTGATGCATCTCTCAACCGCCCCTCTCCGCCCAATCATCAAATGGACGACATCTGGGATGGCAAATTGTGGCAAACATTCAGAAAAAGTGGATATGTCTTCACAGCAACGTCTGGAAGACTGGTCTTTGGCCTTTGGTGTGACTGGTTCAATCCAGGTGGCAAGAACGCAGCCACAAAGACCTCGGTTGGTGTCATGCTCCTCACATGTTTTAATTTACCGCCTACCATGCGTTACAAAAAAGAGAACATCTGTGTTTATGGAATCATGCCAGGACCAGCTGAACCATCCACCACTGAAATGAACCACTTCCTCCGGCCTCTAGTTGATGAGATGAAAGACTTTTGGAACGGAATTACCTTCACATCCACTTCTAAATTTCCTAAAGGCCGCAAGATTCAAGCTGCACTCTGGCCGATACATGGAGACGTACCAGCCATGAAAAAGTTTACTGCATTTACTTCCCACTCATCAACTCATTTCTGCTCGTTATGTCACATACAACGAGAAGAATTTCGCCTCCATTCCCCTGCACCTAAATGCACATGTCGGAAATCAACTGAAGTCAAGCTCCAAGCTCTGGCGTGGGAGAGAGCAGCTACAGCCAAAGAGAAATCAGACCTAGCCGATACTAATGGAGTGCAATACACAGTCCTTCACGAATTGCCATACTGGAAATCAGTCAAATTCTACACAGTAGACATCATGCACAACATTTTTCTGGGTATGTTCAAGGATTTTTCCACTCAGTATCTACAAGTGCCTGCTGCTGGGAAGGGCTTGGCAGCTGAAAAGGAGAAGATGCAGTTTAATCGGCGTCAGTACAATACTCGACTATCACCACCTCCTCCCACTAGCCCACCGGGCAGCCAGCAAGCAGAGACATCTGAGATGCGTCCCCCACCTAGACCTCAATCACACCATTCTCACGACACCAGATCAGCAGCACCTTCAGATCTTCATAACTTACCATCATCTTCAGGTGGATCTGACCGCACCATCAAAGGAAAGAAGCGAGCAAGAGTGGGACAATCTCCAACACCCCCACCACCTGTACCTGCTATTGTTCCATCGGTCACACCCTACGAACTGGATTTGCTTCAGCACTGTCTCGAACATGCCATTGCCCCCTCTTGGACCACTCGACCTAAGCCTAACTTTGGAATGGCCAGTGCTGGTACCCCCAAAGCAGCAGACTGGCAATATCTATTTAAAGTCTATATAGTACTTGCTTGGGTACCTCACTTCAGCTCCGGAGAGGCTGGAGACACCTGTGCCAAAATACTTGACTGCCTCCTGCAGCTCATTCAAATTGGTAACATATGTACTTTGCTATCATTCAAACACGGTGACAGAGAGATGCTCACGGAGTTGGTTGAGAAGCACCAAGCAATTCTTGGGGATGGATGGCCTCATATGATTAAAAAGCCCAATTTGCATTTTGCTGAACACATAGGCTCTATCTCAACACTTCTTGGGCCACCTGCTTATATGGCTAGCTGGGCAGGTGAGAGAATCATTGGTAGCCTAGTTGGAGCACATAAAAACGGAAAGAAAGGTATGTCTTCATCTGAAAATCAGGCCTATAAACACCCCGCTGAACTCCTTTTTCCATGACTAGAACGGCAGGGCGAGTCGTTACTTCAGCACTATTCCAGGCGTAGCTTCTTCCAAGCCATGATCAATAACAATCACACCGCCTTTGAGAATGATCCCATTATTGGAGAATACCTCTTAAGAAAGCGACAGACATCTTGGAAAGAAAGACCACTCAGTCCTATTGCCTTTGAGACCCTTCGAAAAAATGGTTATATAGGGGCAGAGTACACTGCACGCTCAAAATTTGATGTGACCACAAGGATCCTCATTTCAACCAAGCCACATAGCACTTACAAGAAGACGCCTGGAAATAGCTACATCTCATATTCCCACAACTCATGTAAAAGGATGGGCTGTATCACGGATATTATCAAGCTTCCCAATTCTGAACATCCGCTCCTTGTTGTCAATTCATTGATACCTCTTTCTGATGATGACAAACACAAGAGTCCATACTATTCTTTGCCAGACTTGCTGAACACCTCAGTGCTATATGACAAGCATGGAGAATATCATGTCATTGAGTGCGACAAGGTCATTGGGCAGCTAGTTGTCATCAAGAACGAAAAAGGTACTTTTGATATTCAAAGCGAAACACTCTCAACAGTTGAATTGATGAATCTGGTGAGTTTTGAATTGATTTGAGTTCTTGATGTCAACTGACTTTTGTGTTTGACCTTGACCAGGGATTTGTGCAAGGCGAACATGAGGATGATGACATGGATATGGATGGATGATTGCTGCTGAACCTAATAGGATGCTGTAGATGGTATGACCAATTGCACTTGGGTATCCTTTCTGTTTGAACACTCTTGATTTGTAGATGATGCCAATTTGTATCTATGATTTTGAGAGGCATTATATCTGGACTTCACCAGTGCTGCTGGGAAGGATGAATATGGGGAATTGAATGTTTCGGCTCATTATGACTTATATATCTCTTAAAGGTCAGGTTCACAACTTGTGGAGATGTGGTCCCCAGTCAAGATGTATCTGACAACTGGTCATCCAAAAACTTGTCAAAGACTGTGTGATGTAAGTTACACAACCAATTGAAAACAAATTGAAAACAAATTGAAAACAAGTTGGAAACATGTTGAGGTCGCCGGGAGGCACTGGGCTGCCAGTCACTTGTGATTGGGGGCTGTGATTGCACCTGACGATCAAGAATATCAATCAGCTTCAGATATAAACTCAATTGGTGAACAAACATTTCTACTCGAAAGTTTATTTCCAGACATGACTACTTCAGTACCACCCACCACTACTATCACTACTACTACTCCATCAAACCTGTTTGGAGGAAAAGATCATCAAATTGCGGCTTCAGTAGTTAATACTCTTTCTAAAATATTAATTTCTGAAAATTTGAGCGATACCAATTACTTAACTTGGTCAACTGATATCAGAAATGGTATAAAATCTCTTCGTTTTCACTCCTTTCTCTTATCTGATAAGGATGAAGATGATACAAATGAAGATATCAAGTTATACAATGAAGTAGTACGTGAATGTCTCATGACGTGGATGATTTCCAAAATGGATCAAACAAACAAGAACCGATTCGAACCCATGATGACGATTGATACTGAATTGGGTTCTGACATCTCACCAACTCCTAGTTCTCTATGGGTAACAGTTAGAGATCACCACTCTCCCCAAACTTCCGCTCATCAAATGTTGCTTTGTCGTGCTCTATTCAACCTTGTTCAAGGAGATAACCCTCTTCCCTTACATATGGCCAAATATCACAAAGCTTATGTTGCTTACATGAACTCAGGAGGGAAAATTGGAACTGTGGAACTCGGACAACAACTCCTAATGTCCCTAAACAATGACTGGATGAAGGTTGCCGAGGATATCGCTGACAACAACACCTTCGAATATCACTCGGTGGTGACGGCTCTTAAGGTTCGAATTGAAAACCGAGCTATGCTCCGACCTCAAAGATCAACAACCATAGCCGAAGCTAGTGCTGCAAGTCCAATGCGGAAGCGTAACACTTTCGTTCAAACTAGATGTTCACCAACCAAATGTGTTTCTTTATCTCATACCTCAGAAGACTGTTTAAGAAATCCGAAAAACATTGGAAAATATAACGCATGGGTAGAAGCGAAGAAGGTCAAAGGAGAATGGGTAGACCGACCTCCTAAGGGGAATCCCAAATCCTCATCTTTCATTCAACCTTCAACATCATCTGTTGCTACAACCTCTCCCCTTCCTTCTTTATCTTCTCTTCAAGATGCTTTGGATCAATCAGAGTTTTCAGCTAGTGCCAGTGCGGTGTTCATCGTTGATCCTAATGCTAACATCGAAAACGAGCACTTCGGAATTGTCGACAGTGGAACGACTCATCATATGTTCAAGTCTCTCAACGTTTTCGACGCCAACCATTTCACCTCAAACAATGGTATTCAAGAGCGGGCCGGATTAGCAGGCGGGACATCTACTCTCGAAATTAAAGGACGGGGTACCGTTACAATCATGGGTCCTACTGGAGACATCACGACACTCACCAACTGTCTATATGTACCTTCACTCAAGCAAAATTTGATAGCTGGTGGGCGTTTACTTCACGATGGATGGATAACCACCTTGAAAAGCGACAATTCCTTTGTGATTCAACGCGACGGAAAGACAGCAATGTCCGGAACGGTTCACCCAGTGTCAATGTTCTTACACCTCAATGCGGTGCGTCCTGATCAGTCCCCAAGTTCTTCATCAACTTCGGATCCCTTAACTGAAACTCTACAACTACTACATCATAAACTAGGTCACCCGAGTTTTGCTTATCTAAAGCAGATGATCAAGGGAGATGTTGTATTGGGTCTTCCTCTATCATTATCAAAAGCTGTGTTACCTCCTATTCTACCATGCAATTCATGTGACCTATCAAAGGCACATCGTCAGCCACATTCATTCACTCGTACCAGATCGTTACATCCATTAGACAACGTACATATTGATCTCAGCGGTATCATGCGCACACCTGCCTTATGTAGAAGCCTGTATTTCATCTTATTTACCGATGATCACACGTCATACCGCCACATTACCGGTTTAAAATCTAAGGAAAAAGACGAGGTTTATAGTGCTATCCAAACCTATCTTTCTCTTGTGGAAAGGCAATGTGACCGCAAAGTGAAGTCTTTAACTCTTGATGGAGGCGGTGAATTCCTCAATGATGTCCTCCTACCTTATTGCCAAAAGGAAGGCATATACTTAAGAATCACTGCTGCGTATACTCCTGAAGAAAACGGGGTTGCAGAACGGTCTATGCGAACTATTGTGTCGAAAGCTAGGTCAATGCTAATTTGGGCAAACCTGCCGGTTTGTTTCTGGTTGGAATCCGCAAAGAATGCAGTCTTTGTCAACAACCGAACGACTACCACAACCATACCAAAGAACAAAACTCCTTACGAACTTTGGTACAGGAGGAAACCTGACGTGTCCCATATCAAAGCTTTCGGATGCCTCACTTACGTTTTAATCCGTAAAGCGGACCGCGTCAACAAGTATGCGCCTACTTCTGAACAGGGGGTACTCGTAGGTCACACTGAACATAACCGAAATTACAAGGTTTTCATGCTGAAAGATTCAAAGATTGACGTTACGC